AGAATAATTGCATAGCCATGGTAAGTCGAACTATCTACTAAATGTTCAAAAATATAGATGATCTTTCATTCAAGGTACATCGAAGATCTTAGACCACTTCTGGCTTATTTTTACTCTTCTGCCAATAGGTTCTTCGTTCAAATCTCAGTTAAAGTGTGGGTTGTTCGTATCTTTTCTATATCAAGTTTAAAATTCATCTTTTATCAAAGACTATGAACAGTGTACTAAAGTCCTTACCCGACCTTTATTTTCAGAACCATTTGTCACAGACATGTACTTCCTATTCCAAAAATGTTTATATGGTGCAAAGATTCATATTTTCTGTATTTTAAATTTTAAATATTTAATTTTCTGTAAAATACACGCAAAACATATGAATTGTATAAAATACGTAATGTAAAAAAATGACATTTTAAATGCTTTCTCGATGCGAAATACTTAGAAAAATTCAAAGCCAAAATGTACGGGAAAATTCTTAACTCGTTTTAAAAATAAAATGCAAAACTTTTGACCCTCGAGAAACAAAAATTGATCTAGATATTCAATTTCAAAATTTGTAATTTTTGACGTCATTTTCAATTTATGTTGAAGAGTCTGTTAACAAATATATTAGAATAATTTGAGATTGATTTTTTTTTCTCTCTAAAATGTCATTCAATAAGATTCTTTTGGGATTTATTATTGTTTTTAATTTATAAATATGTTACATTTGGTAGGGCGAAACAATCGAAAAAACGAATTTCCGCATGAGAAAATTATAAGTTTTCAAAGTATAAAAGTACACTATTAATATTGTCGTGAAGTTTTATTACTTTAGAATTACAATCTGATAATCGTAAAAAAAATGAACTATTACAAATATTTTGGATTTTTCATTAATGCAAACAATACGAATTGACGACTCTACGAATTGAGTACGAGCCAATATTGAAGCCTGCCAGTGTTTCCTAGAACACGAATTCTGTAACACTGTGTGAATAAGATCTCTGTTCGAAACAAAATTACATTCATCATTACTTTTCAGAATAATCTGCAGAAACGCTTGTCGCGTAATTATTTAATTTCAGAAACCTTTTTCTAAACAATATTTTATTTTTAGTTACGTACAAAATCAAAGATGATTCGATTTGTGTGCTACCCCTGAATATGATTGTCAAATTTAGTACGAATTTTTGTCGTACGAGAGTCAAACTGCAAAGAAAAGCAATGTACGGAAGCGTAAACCTTCACGTTATTTAAATCCTTTTTGTAATTGGAAGCGTATGTCTACGACCAACGATTGCTCAAATGAAAGCCAGATAAGAATTTTTGTGGATATTGTGCATATCCAGTACTTCGTGACGTGTGGTGGAAGAGGTGGTGGAAGAGGATGAGTTTTGGGCTTTTATTGGAGTTATTATCAATATGGGTACGATACCCCTGGCGAATATGCAGGATTATTGGTCAGTTAAGGAGAACAGTCACATCTCTTTCTTTGGTAAAATATTTACAAGAAAGAGATTTATGCAGATATTTTGGATGCTGCATTCCGCTGCGAAAATGTGCCGGAGTTGCTGGTAAGCAGTGGTACAAAACGTGCGGAGCGCTAAGGGCTCAATTTTAGCGAATTTATAGTATATCTAGTCATTATGGTTTGAGATACATCGGCCAAACTAAAACAGCATTGACGTTTCGCGTCAAGGAGCACAAATGTGCGTCCGAAAAGGAGAAATAAACAGATCTTTAATAGATAATCATAGTTGGAGACTTGATCACAGTTTTAACTTAGGGCCTGATAAAATCATCCATAAAGATTCTTTAGGGGGAGGAATGGATTTCTTTGCAGAATTTTCAATTGCCAAAACTTTATCTTCATTAATTAATGGCATTAATTTCAGTTCGGTAATTCCTAACGCTTTCAGAGTTGTAATATTTTACTTCTAATTCATTCTAGCATTTCAGAATTATAATATAACCGTGATTTGTTACGTTTCATTACTATTTTTCCCGATAGATGGTGTTATGTTCGTGCTTGATTTGCTCCGCCCATTGCTTTCAGTGAAAAACCGGTCATCGCTCCTCCTATTTTGCAAAAATGTATTTGCTCCGTGAAACCCATGTCTGATCGCCTTCTAAACAGAAATAGTTTTTTTTTTTATTCAAAATCTGTGCCGAAATAAGAATGCCTATTCTAACCTTTAGATACACTGCTCTTTTTATCACGGATATCCAAAAAAATGGCAGCATAGAAATGATTCAAACGGATAATAAAATGACGATATATAGATGGTCAGTTTTAGCAGCAATAGAACTTTATTTAATCCGTGGACTAAATAAAATGGTATACATTTGGAAGATTTAAATTTCTTTATTTTTATGTCATTTTGTATTTATTAACTCTAGTAGCTTTGCTAGTTTAATTCAGTGCGCATTGTCTTAAAGATACACCCGTATATTGGCCAAATTATACTGTTGATTAATCTAGAAAAAGAGATTTCTTATTTATCGTATTTAGTTGCTAAATATAAAATCTGTAAAGATTCTTTTAAAGGAAGTTAAGCATTTTTCAAGATATAGTTTCACTGTCACTACTTACAATAACTCAAATACCTTTAGCTATGGTAAACTAAAAAATATATTAAATTAAAAATCAAGCAAGAGAAAGCCGCTAGAATATTGCCATCTTGAGAAAAATGACATGATTTTTTTTAACTAAAATGCGCTGCAATTTTGCGTAGAAAATATAAAATCACATAAAATATTTTTTACTCACTTTTATTTAACAGGTTTTTTTTTTCTTTATTTAATTGAGCCAAATATTGATAATAATTTTTATTTATCTTCCTTTAAATATATTAAACATATGTATTTATAACCTAACCTAAGCTAAATCTGTGATAACCTAATGTTTATGGTACCATCAATTGATGATACCTTAAACCACGGGAATTTTTCGAAATTTGATCTATATTTTTTTAAATTTAGTTTTGAATTTCTTTTATGTACGAGGGGAAGTCAAATGAAAACCATAATTATTTTTTTAAATATTATTTATTGGTCACACAGGGTACAGAAGTAAATCACTTTTCAACATAGTCCCCTCCTCGTTCAATGCAAGTCCGCCAGCGCTTCGGAAGAGCCTGAATACCTGCAGAAAAAAAGTCTTTTGGGCGACGGCGCAACCACTCGTGCACCGCGTTGCGTACCTCTTCATCGGAGTGGAACTTCCTGCCCCCCATTGCTTCTTTGAGCGGCCCAAACAGATGGAAATCGCTCGGTGCGAGGTCTGGCGAGTAAAGGGGCATATGGGAGGTATTCAAATTTCAGGTCTGTGATGATCGCAACCGTTGCACGCGATTTATGGGGCCGTGCATTGTCGTGTTGCAGCAGCACACCGGCTGACAGCAATCCACGTCGTTTCGTTTTGATGGCAGGCCAGAGATGATTTTTTAGGTGGTCCGAGTATGTAGCACTCGTCACAGAGTTTCCTCGTGGCGTGTAGTGTTCCAAGATGATGCCCTTTTCGTCCCAAAAGAGGGTCAGCATAACCTTCCCTGCAGACGGCTGTGTCCGAAACTTTTTGGGTTTCGGTGATGAGGAGTGGCGCTACTCCTTGCTCGCTCGCTTTGTTTCAGGCTGATGGTAATGCAACCATGTTTCGTCACCAGTGACGATTCGTGACAGGAAGGCATTACCGTCACGTTCAGCACGCCACAAAAGGTCTTCGCACGCATCAACACGTCGCTGTTTCAGTTCAGGCGTCAGTTGTCGGGGCACCCATCTTGCAGACACCTTATGAAACTGGAGAACATCATGCACAATATGATGTGCCGATCCATGACTCATGTGTACACATGCTGCAGTTTCGTCTATTGTCACACGGCGGTTTTCCAAAACGATGGCTTCAACGGCTGAAATGGTCTCTGGAATCACTACGCGCCGAGCCTGGCCGGGGCGTGGAGCATTGGTCACGTACGTAACACAATTTTGATTGAGAAGCTGTATTTTATAGATTACGTTGATTCTATAGATTACGTTATTTATTTATAGATTACGTTATTTATAGCTGTATTTTATAGATTACGTTGATTTTGTATCATTAGAGTTGCCGTCTTTGACGTGAAATTTAAATTCCCGTGAAAGAACTATCTATGCTTTCTTTTATTTCCTCATGTTCAATATGAATGGAGAATTATAATTCGTTCTAATTATTCCTCGAAAAGTAGTAAAAGCATACTATTTTACATGTGCTTTACACGATTTTTGTCTAACGAAACCACAGTCATGAGCACAAATCATAATCATGAGCCGTACCTCCGACGGCCAACATGTATTCCATAATATCAAACTTCACATACTCCTGATTTCTTAACTGACGCTAGTTTTTCAAAAATATATAGATATTTTTTTTTATCCTTTACAAAATAAAGTACGGTGATCTCCTAATTCAATAACAAATTAAATATAATGAAACTTATCGCATCTAAACTGTGCACCAAGTGGTACAGTGATAAATATGTTTTAATCAATATTCGATTTAGGTTCAAAATGAATTTATAAGAAATATCATAAACAAATAATCTAAACTAGAAAAATCTAATATCTTACATACAAATTACATTTAAATCACAAATTAAAAGAATGCTCTTTTTCTTTTGTTGCGGCTTATCATTCATATAAATGGCATGCGCCTTTTATACCAATATTTGTTGTGTTGCCGCTGAGTGGTAGTGAAAAATGTATATTCATAAGAGAAATAGTGTTTTATTGCTTGTTTAATCAAGCAGGGTATACTTTTGGACTAAGCTAGGAACATAGTCCGCTTATAATCAACAGCGTTTCCTCGATGAAAAGAGTTTTATTAAATTAATTAGTATGCTGCATGCCTTGAATGTTTGCAAATTGCCAAATATAAATCAAAGTACGGAGTAAACGAATAAAAAAATTTAAACCTTTGTATAAAACTACTTTTCTAAATACTGCTTCAAAAATCTTACGACTTCTAGCTCACTGAAAGGAAAATGAATGCTCCTAAATTATGCATAAATTTATAAAAAATAATTACCTAATTATGTAAACAAATCTTATAATCTTCTGTATTTAAGGATGCAGTATAAGTATGCATAATACATTGTTGGAATCTAAAAGCAAAATGAAAAAGAGCAGCTTTATTTTCATGCTGTTAGGTACCTTACGTACATTTATTTATTTCGCGAGTGGAAAAATATATGCAATCAAAGAAAGCGATACATCAAGAGAACTTACCTGCTATAAAAACACTAGACGTTTTACGGATAATCGTCGGGTTTCTCAGAGCGAATCCTTTTTAAAAACCTAAAGCAGCGGGTGCCTTTTATCACGTTTTTTTATCAGTCTCTTAGACCTCCTTAGTGCACGATGAAAACTTCAAACAGATACAGCTGCAAAGTGTGACAGACCCTCCACGCTGTGGCTGGCGTCCAAATCCGAGACGTTTTCTAGGGAAAAAGAGGAGAAATTAAATGAAAACCGAAAATAAAAAATTTCTTCAGCTTTCTTTTGAAAAGAGCTCTCATTGAAAATTTCTTCACACGCGATAATGTTTAGTGCAACGAGAAACACCTCAGATGGTGAGTACAGGTGAACGTATCTAATTTTTTTTTATTTTAGATATTAAATATATTTATGTGACTAGGAAATGATTTTACTAACCTGCGCTAATACCAGCAGTAAATATGAAAATATGTATCGGAAAAAGCTCAAAAAGCACAATTTTATACATCTTTGCAATAATTTTCAAATTAACTTATAGACGAGAGGATTAAGGTCTTAGACCTAAAAGATTCTGTAATGAAAGTTTTACAGTAAAATTGCTGGGGAGACTGAAGAAATCTTCGACATTAGTTAGACTTAATTATTGTAAACCTGTCTAGAAGTAAGTGGACAACAATAGGAATGCAATAACATTTAACTCAAACCTAAAATTATTATCTTAACCCTCTGAGTGGCACAGCTTTTTGGGATCTCCTCATGAACACCTGTATTTAAACAGCATTTAGCTAGATTTGTATCCTAATTTGCTTTAATCTCTGTTTTTGCAAACTTGCATTCTTATTCTTCAAGACCGACCAGAGGCTGAGCGGTAAAATCGCTGAACGTTGGTAGTTCTGACCTAGGTTTGATTCCAGGTGAACGTCCATGAAAGCATCCCTACCCTTAGGCAGATAACCCTAGTGTGTTTTACCATGAATCAGCCATTTAGAGGAATTAAAGCAAGTGTTCCCCAGTCAGTTTTGCGAGCAAAAGTATTCCGTTAATACCATAATAGCTATTTTTTCTAGTCTAAAGATTAGTGCATAGTTCGTCTGATCGTATACTAATTAACGCTGCTGGTTGCCGTATCATTGGGTCCGAATTCGTATCTCGGATACGGCTTGAATGTTTTTTAATGCATAATATCTGTGCAACATGGAAGCGCTTAAAGCACTGGTGAGTAGAATTTAGGTGACCGAAGGCCACGAGATACGGCTCCTGGGCAGAACTCTATCCCAGAAGAAGAAGCAAGGTTCTTGCATAACTAGCAAATTAATTACGATAATCAAAACTCGACTGATTTTCTGGTAAGAAAAAGGGGCGGAAGACCCTCGGATCCGCCCATCAAAAATTGAAGTAAAGCTTTCCCCTTTTTTGCATCTGTGAAATCGGTCCCCTCCATGGAGGTAGGAAGTTTCCTACCTCCATGGTCCCCTCTTCTGCTTTCGCCAAGTTCTCGGTGACCTTGGGCAAAATTTTCGGTGAATCAGATAGCCAGGTCGAGATTTATATTCACTATTCCGGACGAATGAACTAACTTGAAAATGTCCGGACATTTGGTAACAACAATAATATAATAGCGAATTTTCCTTTGCGATTGTAATGATCCTGTTTCTTCTTCCTCGGAGTATGTTATTTCTGTTATTTTTATAACAAATCAACATCAAGATGATATCTTTTTTACTCCCTTGCACGAAGTAAATGAAGTGTTGCAATCACAAAGAATTCCGGGTATCATATTTCAAACAAAATATTCATGTTGACCACTATCGAATGTAATTTAACGATGTTTTTGAATGGCATCTGTACGTAAGGACAGAATAAAGGACTCCTTTTCCCCCCAAAAGAATTATAAAACTGATTTAAAATGGGTTCAAAAGAGTTTTTTCGTCGTGTCTTGTAAATACGTACGTATGTACAGATGGAGGACAAAATAATACGAACTTCTGTTAAATAATGGAAAATCTTTCCTAATAGGGGATTGTACCACTTTTTGACTGAAGTACGTGATTGAATGTCACGTAGGATAGATGCATAAAGGTCATGAACAATATTTAAAGGAATATTAAGCCATTCCTCCTACAGAGCGGTCTCTGATTCCGAAAGTCCGAATGGAGGTGGAAATCGAGAACGAAGTTTGGACTCCAAATATGCCCATAAATGTTCAATAATATTCAAGTCCGGAGACTGAGGGGGTCAAGCGAGATGTTCAGTTGCATCGTCATGCTCTTCGAACCATTCTTGAATACACCTAGCACTGTGGATATGTGTATTCGTTGTCGTCTTGAAAAAGCGGTCGTTCCCCAGGGAATACAGTCTGGACAAAAGGATGGACATGCAGTTTTTCACCTCCTACTTTGGTTGCAATCGACCGCACCAAAAGTGTATGTATATATATATATATATATATATGGTATATATATACTTATGATATATATACTTATGTTTTCCAATTTTTGGTCTTTGTGAAAAATTTCTTCTTCTTATATATATATATATATATATAGATAGATAGATATAGATATAGATATAGATATAGATATAATAAGAAGAATTTCATATATATAGATATAATAAGAAGAAATTTCATATATATAGATATAATAAGAAGAAATTTTTCACAAAGACCAAAAATTGGAAAATCATAAGTTTCAAATAATCCTATAAATGCAAAAAAGAATTTAAAAAATGTTAAAACTGAAACTCTTCAAACAAGCAATACTCCAATTAAAAAAAATCAATGAAATTTAAAGAAAAACGTGCATTAGAGAAGAGGAATTCAAGCTACTCCAATGCCACATAGTCAGAAGGAGGACACTGAAATCATTTGAAATCTCTCTTCCAGAAAAATCTTTGCTTTTCTCTATATGAATATATCTCTCTATTTCCCTGTATATCTCCGATGAACCCTTTCAATATATTTGAATTATAATAGTTCACCCGAATGTTCTGGCCTCTCCCCAAAGCAGGGAGAAAACCCACTCTGTTACTTGGCTCGGTGAGCTGAGGTTTTTTTATTCTTATATGTTGTAAATTGTTCCTTTTTGCTTTAAAAAATGATTGAATAGTGTTGTTCTTATCTTCCGGTAAAGATTTTTTATGCCTTTAGTTAATCTGCATGCAATAGTTGTAGAATTATCAACAATTATAAAAGTTATTTAAGTGCGACCAAGCCTATTTTTTTCCCATAACAAACATGCTTTGTTACATTTAAAATGTAGCAGAATAGTGAATCAGTTTATGCACTTTCAGTGTCTTTTTGCCGAATGAGACAAAAAGAAAATTTTAGTTTTGAGCACCCAAAAATATGCATTCTTGCCTGCTGGTCGATGGCTTGTTTTTTCGTAGAAACTCTAATTTTTAATTGTAAATTAATTTTTTTCATTGTTTAACTGTATTTGATGTTTTACGTTTTTTTATATCTTTCAATTTTTAATGACGATATTTTGAAGATTTATGTATTTTTGCCTTGCCGTGAAGTGAGAAGTGAATTAGAAATCTATCTCTAATGAAATTCGAGGAAATAAGTTTATTTATATGAAATGCAACAAAAAATGCGTATAATTTAATATTTCGTACTAGGAACTCATATGATGTCCGCATCAGCTTTTTTTTTTTTTAACTGCTTCTTTCCATTTATCCATTTTCTGGTAAAAATTTTAATACTTTTTATATTGCTAGAAAGAAAAAATATTGATATGGAGCTATATGTATGATTTTATTATGATCAGTCTTTAGTTGAGATAATATTTCGAAGTTTTGTTTTTTCCGATTCGGGTAGGGTTCACCCAGTTATCCGAGTGTCATAAACACCGTTCCACAAGGGGTATGATATCTTTTTGAAAATTTGCATTTAGATTTTAATAAGTTCCTAAAGCATATTTCATGATTATAAACATATTATCTAGAACTTAAAATGGTATTTTGTACTTAAAATATTTGATTGAAAATCATATGCGAATTACGTGTACAGTCTAAAGCTTAAAAATATATTAAAATATTTATGAATTTTTTCCTCAGAGTGCAATGATTTTTATCAGGATCCCTTTCAGTTACCTTTCTTTAAAAGGAACGAAAGAAAGAAAAATATTTCCCAAAATATATTTGAAGTATGTTTTTCCCATTTGAACTAATAATTGGAGGAGGACATGATAAACTACCTGCATCAACTTGCTACAGAAATAATTAGCAAATTTAGCTTGTTCTTATTCTTAGTACGAGTTTTTATGAGTGCTTTTGATTTTAAAATTGCTTTTTGAAAGTTAAATAGAAGTGAAAAAAGAACATATTCAGCATATTTTGCTTTATGAGTTCAGTTAAATAATTATTAATAGGAATATTAATGCAGTATAAGGCGTTCGTACAATAAGCCAGTTTTAACCGTGATCCGAGGAACTCCCAGCCAAAGCTTAGACGATGTGCCTTGTTCTGGAAGATCTGCAGACCTGGATAAAGACATCTCGCTAGTTCTGGTGGAACAAAATCCCATTCGCATCGTAACTAATAAGAACTAGGGGTACAAGTCTGTTATCGGAATCGGGTTCAGAAATGTATGTGTATGTATGTATGCGCATACGTGTGTGTACATACATAAGTACGAATACTCTGCACCCTCCCCCCGAAAAATGGGGCACTTCTATATCACTGGTTCTACTCTCTTCTATCGAGAAAAATTAATTTGTGTTTTTCATGCCTCGAAAATGCGACATAGGATATATATTAGATTTATATATAACATTGGTATTTTGACCCAAAATCGGACATTTTCTGAAATGACATACTAATTGTTTTCCATTTTTCGATTCTCCTATTCGATACTCCAGTTAACGTATAGTGCAGGCCAGTTAAAAATGCTTATTTTTATGATTATTTATGAATACAATATTACTTATTGCCGTAAAGATTCGAGACAAATGTTAATCGTCAGTTCACAAAGTAGCCAGTAAGGTGGCCTTTCGTAAGGATGCGGATAATAAAATAAAGTACCAACACATGCATTTCTAAGGAGCGTTACATGGAATAATGTTCAAAATTCTACAACTACACACTTGAGTTGCATTCGGAAAGAAATTACTGTCACTAAATAAATTAATGGACATCTTTCAAAGGCCTGCCTTTAAATTTCATCTAGAAAATTACTTTCATAATGTTTTTCATTCACAGTACTAATATTTATAAAAATATA